CTCTTCAGCTCAAGGCTAACACTCTACCACTTGAGCCACAGCACCACTTCCAGCTTTTCTGCTTATGTGGTGCTGAGCAATCGAATCCAGGGCCTCATGCATGCAAGGCAAGCACTCTACCACTGAGCCACCTTCCCAACCCTTGTTTTGGTTTTTGAGGCAAAATGGTAGGGAGGGAAGGGTCAGTGAAATGAGATATTCAGAATTCAAAAGCCTTTATTCAGAATTCAAAAATATGGGCTCAAAATTCTAAAGCCCCAAAGCATCAAAACAAATTATATATAATATATAACATATACGCACATATATATACAAACCTATTTATACATTCAACCCATAAAACAAGAATTACCTACTGAATTCCTTTTTTCCTTAGTTCTTAAAACACCAAGAAATCTATATATTTATCTTAGTGCTGTGGAACTGAATCCTTGTAACAAACACAGTAATATACAGGGGATAGTCACACTCATCCAATGGATGAAGGATCAGTATAGGGAATTTAAGTAACCTATTAAGTCTCTAACAAGTCCAGGCCTCTCAGCCTCTGAGCTCGGCTGTCTTCCTAGCGACTTCTCACTTTTATTAATATCACTCATGATTTTTACAAGCTTCAATCATATTTGAATCCTCCTCTTTCAAGATCAAGAAATCTTTTTAGTCCCTCTTCCCTGCTCCATGCAATTATTTTCATTTTCTGGTTCCATTATGCCTTTTTACAGAAAAGCAGTCTGATACAAATGCATCATAATTTTGTTAAAAATGAAAAACTGTTTCCTATTACATTTCCAGTACTCAACCAGATAACATCCTAGAGCAGCAGCAGTTAAGTTTGCCGTAATTCCCAGGTCTTTCACCCCAGTTGGAACCAAATTAGAACCTACAAATTCAAATTGATTTAAAAAAAAAAAAAAAGAGTTACTAAAGGATCCAATGAAGAGGAGAAAAATATTTCAAAAACAATCAGCAAGTGCAGGTAACCAAGAACTGGGAATGACAGGATTGAGTAGACGAGTAGAAAACTATTATTCAAATACTGGGTTCAAACAACAGCAACAAACTTTTTCAGAAACGACAGCAATGGACCCAATAATTTAACAAACCACACCCTCTTAAAAAACACACTTCAGACGATAATATGAACTGCCACGGCACTATCAGTAATCCTGGACAGAAGGCATAATTATATTGTTTAACTGGCAACCAAGAACACATCCTATTAGAACTCGCCAGCATCAGGGAAAAGGTCTAAAAACTATTCCACCAAAATTTGAAGCTTTCTCTTTAATTTCCTTTCACTTAATATATGTCAGCCACACTTTTCATTAAGAGCCCAGTTTAGTTTAAATTAATCTCCCGAGGGACAGGCTAATTCAGGGGTCAACATTATTAAAATCTGTTTGAGCCACTGGGTGCAGGTGTTCTCGTTATTAACAGGGGAGTTCACTCTTAACCCATCTGTTAACAGATATGACAGAGGCTTTGTGAGCTACCAGATTTGTTTAAGGGCAAAGTGTACATTGGGGAAACATGTAAAGTAACACTGTGGGCTGAAAATAACTTCTCCCCATTTACAACCAGTAGGTGACCCCTCCATCCCTCACGGCAAGCCACAATCAAGTGGAGTAACAACTTACTGAAAGTGTCACTCACAGTGCTCCATGTATCAGGAATTCCTACTGCGGTAACCATCCAATACAAAAACCAACCGCACAGGCAGTCAGTAAGCTGGGGACAGTATTCCCTCTAGCTCTAAACTCAACACATGTGGCACAGGTCTGTTAAAGGTAATACTTCCACTTTGCTCAAACAACTAAAAGGCCAGTCATGCTCCAGAAACTCACAAAAAAATTCTCTTTAAAAGACTAAGAATATAGTGATCTGTGATTTTCCGTAAGACGAATGTTAGAAATTTTGCTTTAAATTGATCATATCAGATTTTTATACAATATTTACTGAATTCATAAACAATTTACAACACAACTGAGGAAGTTTGGCCACAAATCCAAATGAGCACCACCTCAATTTTTCTCGCCCTGTGGCACTGGGGAATGAACCCAGTGCCACATGCATGCCAGGCAAGAGCTACCACTGAACTAGCCCAAGTTCAAAATTTTTTGTCAGAGACAGTCTCTCTCTAGATGTTCCAGGGTGGCCTCAAACCCCAGGACTCAAGTGATTTTCTACCTCAGCTTCTTGAGGAACTAGGATTAGTTAGAACTGATGTTCTTTTAGTGTTGTTGTATTTTTGTTCAGTCTTTTTGTTTTTGTGAGGTGACTTTTTGTGTGTTTTTTTGTTTTTCTGACAGGGCCCATATATAGCCCACATCAGCCTCAAATTCACAATCATCACTCCTCAGCCTCAGGGATTATAGGCCTGCAACCACCAAACCTACTTAGATATCACTTTTTTTGTTGTTGCTGTTGTTGGTTGTGGAATTTGAACTCAGGGCCTAGGCACTATCCATCCCTGAGCTTTTCTGCTCAAGGCTAGCACTCTACTACTTCTGGTTTTCTGGTGGTTAATTGGAGATAAAAGTCTCATAGACTTTCCTGCCCTGGCTGGGCTCGAACTGTGATCCTCAGATCTCAGCCTCCTAAGTAGCTAGAATTATAAGTATGAGCCACCAGCACCTGACAGACTTCACTTCAAGGTAACTTTTCCAGCTTTTTTCCAGAAGAAAAAAAAATCTGAAATAATCAAACGCTAGTTCAAATAAATACATCATCCCCAAACCAAGCCCAGAGAGATTTGTCACAGAGAAAGAAATTCTAAGTTTAAGCTGTTCAACTGAGCTGGGCACTTGTGGCTCTCCCCTGTAATGCTGCTACTCAGGAGGCTGAGATCTGAGAATTGAGGATCAAAGTCAATCAGGGCAGGAAAATCTGTGAGACTCTTTATCTCCAATTAACCACCAGAAAACCAGAAGTGGAGCTGTCGCAAAAGAGCTCAAGACCCACAATCTACAGGAAAAAAAAAAAGTTCGAGAATAGATCCATTCTTCAAGGAATTCAAGCCCACAGAAATTTTTTGTCAAATATAAGTGTGTATGAGACAGCAAAACATATATAGTTCACAGAAGCTTATGTAGGCTGTCTACTTAGAAAACAGAATGTGGGGATGGGAAGGTGGCTCAGTGGTAGAGCGCTTGCCTTGCATGCTCAAGGCCCTGGGTTTGATTCCTCAGCACCACATAAGCAAAAAGAAAAAAGCCGGAAGTGGCACTGTGGCTCAAGTGGTAGAGCACTAGCCTTGAGCTGAAGAGCTGAGGGATAGTGCCCAAGCCCAGAGTTCAGGCACCATGACCGGACCCAAAAAAGAAAAAAGAAAACAGAATGTACTGTAAATGATATACCAAATACCTATGTTCAGGAGCTAGAGAGATCGTTCAGTCAGTGTTAGATAGCTTGTCCACAGATGTACAAGGCCCTGGACTTGATTTCCAGCAAGCATCACAGAAATGGGGAAAGCCATGCTCATATCTCCATGTTATATCAGAAGTATCATTCTTGAATTATGTCTGTTTATATACATCGTGATGTATGATACACCACATACACATACACATACACACACACACACACACACATTATACCCTCAGGAGGATAAAAGAAGAGAAAGCCTTCATAACATTTCAATAACTCTATGGTTAACAACTGGCTCCTACATTCAAACACAGCCCCTGAAATAATGGTTCAGTCAGGCTGGGAAGGTGGCTCAGTGGTAGAACACTTGCCTCACATGCATGAGGCCCTGAGTTCGATTCCTCAGTACCATATAAGCAGAAAAAGCCGGAAGTGGCGCTGTGGCTCAAGTGGTAGAGCGCTTGCATGCATGAGGCCCTGGGTTCGATTCCTCAGCACCTCATAAGCAAAAAGAAAAAAGCCAAAAGTGGTGCTGTGGCTCAACTGGTCGAGTGCTCGCCTTGAGCTGAAGAGCTGAGGGACAGCGCCCAGGCCCAGAGTTCAGGCCCCACGACCAACAAAAAAAAAAAAGGTTCAGTCCACAAACAGCCCCCCTCAAAACCAAAGAATATGTTTATACTCTTCTATAAATAGAATATCATACAAGAAAACGTAGTAACTTTGTTTATACTTCTACTAATATTAATATCCACAGATCATTTCCTGGGCATTATACAAATTTAAGGACATGGACAGTATGACCACAGGATTGCAAGATTACATTTAGGTGAGAAACTTTAGGTGAGAAACTCGAACCCCTTGGAACAGAAAAGTTACTGCAGAGGCTGTCCTGAGCCTGACAGCAGAGCAGCAACTCCGACATCTACCCACCAGGAGCCCGCAGCACCCCCCCCACCCCCCCCCCACCCCCCCCCCCCGCCCCCGCCCGCTTCCAGGTGTGAGAACCAAAAAAAAAAAAAAAACGTCTCCGGGCGTGGCCACCTGATCCCTAGGGGGCAAATGCTGAGCTAAAAGTCTAACAACTTAATACTGTGTTTCCGTTGTCAAAAGAGAGTATGTTCCAGCACACAAAGCGGTTGGAAAAAACCAAAACACACGCGCACGCACACGCATTCCGAGTGGCTACTCTGGATGAAACTTTTCCTGGCTCCTACAAAGTAACTGAAACTTGGTTCGTGCAGATAGCTAATTCCTCCACATGTGCACGATGAAACACCCTTGGGAGGATGAATCTGGGGCAGGCTGGGACAGGAGCCAAGGATGACTAGCTTTTATGGCTTCGATGAATTACACCTTGTTTTAACCCTTGGGTGGACCGGCCAAGCATCGCTCCCCTTCGTAACCCTTTCCTGGCGAAGCCTGCCCCCCCACCCGCCCGCCGGCCGGGCCTCCGCTCCGATGCCCTCGCCTTCCCCCGCTGAACCTGTCACTGCCCGAAGCTGAGATCGCACCCGGGGGACGGGCTGGCTCTCACCGCCACCAGGCCCAGGACCCCCGGGCCAGCCGTGACCCCTGACCCCGGCCTGACCCCGCTGCTCCCCCGACCCCCCCCCCCCGCCCACACCCGGAGATACCTGAAGTAGTAGACATCGCTCTTGCCAGCGCTGAGTCCTGATTTTCGGATCACTTCCTCCTTCTTCCATCCGGGGGGGAGGGCCGGGCAGTCCATCCTCTTCCCGCTCTCCGTGGCCCGGGGTCCCCGGGGCCCCGGCCCCGCGCTCCCCGACGGGAAAGGGACCGGCTCCCGCCGGGGGGCGCCGCCGCCACCGCCGCCGCCGCCGCCGCCGCCGCCGTCGCCGCCAAGGCCGCCGCCGCCACTCGGGGGACGGCCGCGGCCCCGGCCCCGGCCCCGGCCCCGGCCACGGCCCCGGCCCCGGCCACGGCCACGGCCACAGACGCCGCCGCCCCGGCCCGCCTGCTTCCACCGCCCCCGGCCACGGCCGCCGCCCCGAGCGACTTCCCTGCGCACGCCGCTCACCGGGGACGGGGCGAGCGCGCTGCCCTGGCCCCCCTGCTCTATGGCGGAGTCGCCGCCGGCGCCGCTGCCGCCCGCCGCACTCTCCCCCTCCTCCTGCTCCGGGCAGCAGCGGCCTCCCCCCGGGTGCGCGCGCATCCAGCCCCCTCCCCAGCCGGCGCTGCGCTTCTTCCGTAACCGAGCCCTTGGAATCCCGGAGACCCGCCCCGCCCGCAGCGCGGCGCGCGGGGGACGCGCGCAAGCATCATAGAGCGGGCGCGCACAGAGCGGCCCTCCCGCCCGGGGCGTGGCCCCGGCCGCCGCCTCTTAGGTCCTCCAAGCGCTCGGGGTGGCCATCTTGTCTCCGCCCCATCGAGGCCACGCCCATCTGGGTTCGCTCCGCCCCCAGACCTCTCTAGCCCCGCCTCTTGGCGCGCCCTTCCGGGTCCTGAGCCCTGGGCCAGCTCAGAGCCGGCCAGGCTAGGAGGCCGGAGCCGCCAGGGTGGGCCAGTCAGAGAGAATGCGGTTGTCACCTTGTTCCAATAGGGTCGAGGCCTTCCATTGTTTCTGTAAACAGTGTTCACGGCCCAGATCTCGTGTTGTATTTACTAGATCATTCCTTCCCCCCTCTGCACCTGGGACCGCAGGTGCCTGGAGCAGACCATGACCACGGTCAGCTCCCCTGACTTTCAGAACGGGAAGGGGGTGATGACCTGGAATAGTCCCACCAGTCCTGAGGTGGTTATTATTTCATTCTCAGCCCATAACTGAACATGAAGTGTTTACTCTTTGAATCCACCAAGAACTTATTTACCAGCTTTCAAGGGTGGTTTTGGTTTTTTTCCTTGACTTCATCATCACAAAAAAAAAAAGACCTTTGACTTGGGAGATACTTCTTCATGTGGCAAGTTTAAGTTAGCCTATTACAGGATTTATAGCCCATTATGTGTAGCCTACTATAGAATTTATCGGGATCAGGGGTAATTTTAAAGGATAACGATAAATCGATCCAGGAAAGTGATTTAATTTTTTTATTTCGCAAATCCATTTATTTTCTTTTTTTTTAATAAGCTTTTTTATTGTGAAAACACTGAAAAAGAATCCTATCTTTTTTTTTTTTTTCAGAAAGGATATCTCACTATGTTTTTTAAGCGGGCCTAAGGTCCTGAACTCGCGTCCTACAGCCTCAGTAGTTCCTCCAAGTACTTCCTCCCACTATGCCACAGGCTTACGTAAGAATTGTATACCTGTTTAATATTTATAGAAGTGTGCCACTGAAATTCAAGATGATAGATTATGAAATAGTTGGAAGACTGAAAAGTAGAAAGCATACTTTTTATGACAAACTAGGGTTTCTAAATGCATAGAACCTAAATGTTGAAGACCTAGTTTTATATATATATATGTAAAATGAAAAATCAAATTTTATTTGCTTTGCCTCAAAGTGCAAACATTAACTCATACACACACAATGTATCCCTGGTTTCATTTAATGTCCTTGATTAGAATTGCATGATCCTAAGCTATAGCTTTCTACAGGAAATCTATCTGGAAATAAGAGAGGAAAAAAGAAAAGAATGTTCAACTGGAGTTCTCAGGCATGAAGTCATTACTGGAAATCTAAATATTTAGTAATCATTAATTGGTGAAGGTAGCAATTGAAGGACCCTACTCTGCAGTTCCGTGGTAGAGCCCTGAGTGTAGCATGCACAAAGCCCTGGGTTCGATCCCTAGCACTGCGATAAACAAGAACTATTAAGTAAATCTGAATAGAAACAACAGTTGAAACAACAGATGGGAAAAAATATAATGTTGGTAAATTCACCTTGCTAGGTTTGCCTATTGAAGCTATAGATCAGATAAATAGCATATGTAAAAGCATAAAAGTAGTAAGTCACTTGAATATCCGGTCTTTTTTTTTTTTTCACTTCTACAACCAGATTCCATTTGCTAAATCCCTGTAGATATAATACTCCTCCGTTAAAAAAAAATCAATTCAGCATTCCAAAAGCTTTTCAGTCACACTTGAATTTTTCTGCTATAATACCACAGAGAAAAATACCAACAACAACAAAAAATAAATCAGACACTTATTTAATCTCTACCATTAAAAGAAGAAAACATCCCAATTAAAGAAACAAAATATATAGAGACCAGATTATAACCATAAAAATACTGAAGGTATATGCTAAATATGTTTCTCTTCAAATACCAGATGAAACTTTTATAATTCCAGGAAATGCATTTTATATTACTTCTCAAAGAAGCACAATGATATTATAAAGTTATGAGCAAATTTTGTGCTTTTTTGTCTTTCTTACAATGAATAATATATCTCTGGCTTATTTTATGGAAGAAAAAAAGATGAAAACAAGCCTGGATTATGTATGGCATCTGGCTCCCTCATCAAACAATAGAGTTAATCTGCTCCGATTACCAATCCCAGGTGTAAAGGCAGGTGCTCCCATACCAACTGTCACCCATGAAAAACTATCCATTCTTTCATTTTTAATTTAACATGCAAAGCTAAGGTTAAGCCACTAAAGAAGTCACTTTTGAGAAAAATAAGTGTTCATTTCTATATTATCATAAAAAATAAAAATTACAATAAAAAGTTTTCAGATTTTTAAGAATTATTTTTTAAAATGTAACAAATTCAGAGAATGAAATTTAATTGGTAAGAAGTAATGACTAGATTTTTTAGGTGTATTTTATTGACAAACGGATAACATATTTGAATCCTTGGCTGTAATAAACTACTGAACTAAAAAGACAAATATTAGAAAGCATTGTGTTTTCCAGTGAGCATGCTTGCATCAAGTGGTAACGGCTGTCAGTTTCTCTTTCTTGCTGAGTTCAAATGGTAAGGGTCAGAATTTATACCACAAAATATAGGAGTAAAGGCACAAGCAAAAAGACAGTTTCCCGTTCCAATTAGCAGGTCTCATGATTCATTCAGTTGGCTCCACTACAGTTCACCTAATTCCCAACTGAAAAATGCCGCAGCCGACACAGCACGTCAAGGGCCCAGATGATACTTTCAAGTACATGTAGCTTTAATAAAGATTTTTTTTATAGCCTCTACTTGGAATGACTACAAAGGAATCTAGCATCACATAGTTCAAACTCAGGAGAAAAGAGTTAATTATCTAAAAAGCAAGCAAAAACAAGAAGGGGTAGGTAAGTTTAGAACCAAAGGAATTTTTTTTTTGGTCAATCGTGGGGCTTGAACTCTGGGCCTGGGCCCTGCCCCTGAGCTCTTCAGCTCAAGGCTAGTGCTCTACCGCTTAAGCCACAGCACCACTTCCGGTTTGAGTGGTTTATTGGAAATAAGAGTCTCTTGGACTTTCCTGCTTGGGCTGGCTTTGAACCGCGATCCTCAGATCTCAGCCTCCTGAGTAGCTAGGATTACAGGCGTGAGCCACCAGCTCCCAGCCAAAGGAAATTATTTTAAGAACTAATGTATTTTTCTTCTAATTTCTCCTTGTTGTAAGAGTAGCCCTGTTTGAGACTAAAAATTGAAGCTATGCTAATTTGATTCTACTCTCTACAAGTAAAAATTAAAAAATAAAAAATACAGTGCTGCCAGAATTGAGAAAATGATCTTTAGGTTTTAGAGCCCTGGGATACCACTTGATATATCTAAATGTGGTTTTGGACTGTAATCCTGGCCAAAAACATCAGCATGTTAGGACCCATGATCCCTCAGAAACAAGGACTTTGTGCTCAACTCATGCCAGTCACTTTGGAGAGTTCCAGACCAGCCAGGACACACACACACACACACACACACACACACACACACGAAAAAGATAAAAAGAAAGCAGGAAGGAAAGGAAGGAAGGAAGGGAGGGAGGGAAAGAGAAAGAGAAAGAAAAAGAAAAAGAAAAAGAAATCAATAACAACAAAGTGACCAAAAAAAAAAATGCTGGGGCTGGGAAGGTAGCTCTGGTAGAGTGCTTGCATTGCACACATGAGGCCCTGGGTTTGATTCCTCAGCACCACATAAGCAGAAAAAGCCGGAAGTGGTGCTGTGGCTCAAGTGGTAGAGAACTAGCCTTAAACTGAAGAGCTGAGGGGCAGCGCCCAGGCCCAGAGTTTAAGCTCCACAACCCACAAAAAAAAAAGAAAAGGAAGGGAAAGAAAAGAGAAAAAAAAAAATGCTGGTGTGTGTTGTATATTTACATTGAATGAAAAAAAATAACGGTAAATTGGAACACACATCTCATCAAAAGAGACTTTGTGCCTGTAGGTGGTTTTCCCAGTGTTGCAGACTCTTATCAAATAACAGAACTAAGTCCAGAACCCAAATCCTGACCCAGGTTCAGATCCTGTCTGCTTGGCTGTTGGAAATGGCCTTACTTTGCCTGGTTTCTTTATCCTTAAATATCTGTCATTTAAGATGGGGAAAAGCTTCGCTGCAGAGCTTTTCATTTGGCTAGTTTCTGTTCTTTGTCTCAAACTCAGTCAGTACTCTGTCCAAGAAAACTTTCCTAACATCCTCCACACCCTATTCCCCTACAAACACCCCAGGTGGTATTCTGTGTGCCCCACAACTCTTAAGTATTTCCCCTATCCATTTATTGTACTGCATTCTCATTATCTAGTTAACTTCTTTCTATTTTCCACTGCATTTCCAGTGCCTATTATTGGACCTGTCAGGAATATGGGAAGGACTCATCAGATTCCTGATGAATTAATACAACATAAAAAATTATGAGCTCTCGGGCTGGGAAGGTGGTTCAGTGGTAGAATGCTTGCCTTCCATGCATGCGGCCCTGGGTTCTATTCCTCAGCACCACATAAGCAGAAGGGGAAAAAAAGCCAGAAGTGGCACTGTGGCTCAAGTGGTAGAGCACTAGCCTTGAGCTGAAGAGCTGAGGGACAGTGCCCAGGCCCAGAGTTCAGGCCCCACAACTGGACCCAAAAAAAGAAAAATTATGAGCTCTCTGCTAGGTGCTGGTGGCTCATGCCTGTAATCCTAGCTACTCAGGAGGCTGAGATCTGAGGATCATTGTTCAAAGCCCAACCAGGCAGAAAAGTCTGTGACACTCTTATCTTCAATCAGCCACCAAAAAAAAACAGAAGTGATCTATGGTTCAACATAGTAGAGTAGCTTTGAGCACAAAAGCTCAAGGTGAGTGTCTAGGCCCAGAATTCAAGCCCCATGACCAACATAAAGAAAAAAAATATTAACATCCTTCTAGTCTCAGAAAATTTGGATAGGTTTCACAATTGTTTCATAAACCAATAAGTTTAATTTAAAATAAGCCTTAAATTCAGTT